TATCTTTATAGAAATGTGCCCCTTGCACAGATGACTAAAGCTCAGCCCTCCTGAAAACGACAGAAATTTCTGAGCCAGAATCCCCCTGTCATGAATTAAACCTAAACCTTGACCCTTAATCTAGGCTTTTCAAGCCAGATAAACCCTCACCCTTTTCTATAGAATCTTTCACCCAAGAATTTAACGTGCCTCGTCCTAAAAAGCCAGGCACGTTTACTCCGTCTGAGGGCAGGAGGAAGGCATCAAGGTTCTGCTCCTGCTTTCGGTCAGGACAACCAAGCCACCCGCAGGGAAGCATCCTCTCCCCTGCATCTTCTCTGGCCGGAAAAGCAGCACAGATGCTGGAAACCTCAGGGAGGTAAAAAGCAGTTATTACTTATTACCTGCATCTCACTTGGCACCCTGACGGATTCCCCCAATGCTTTGCTGCAAAAGAAAGCAGCTTTTTACCACCTCCTTGCTCTTCCCCCTTGCTGTGAGTGGCACTGCAGGTCTGCCTCGCCTGGTCTGCAGGAGAGGCTTCAGAGCCCTCGCTGCTATTTTGTACTAAAGGATGACGGCTGAAAATCTGGAAGGCACGCAGCCAGAGAGCAATTTTGTTAGGAAAACAAGGCAAACACTTTCTGTTCCTGCCTTACGCATGCCTCTGGGTTACTCAGCCATTATCTGCTAAATTAAGGCCAGCCGTGCTGGCCTGAAGAGCCCCTCCTGTACCAAAGTCACGGCCAGCCGTGACTCCCTAGCCATGGCCGCGGGGCACACGCGGCTGTCTTGAACTCTCCGGCAGCTTGTGCAGAATCCTCGCCCGGCGCTTGCAAACACACAAGCCTTGCTCTCACGGGCAGAGCAAGGAAAAAGATGAGGATCTCCTCCAGGTTCCCCACCATCACAGCCCATGTTACGACATACCGCTGAACGGTTTCTGACTCCCTCTCAGGGAGAATTGGTGGAATTCAGACATTTCATTACGTGCTCGGCAGGACTGCAGGCGAGAAGGGAATTAGATGCCTGCTCTGTAGCTGAGGAGAAGCGAGAGGGACACCCTACAGCCCAATTTATGGAGTGGCATCAGAAAGCAGTGGCAAAACAGGGCATGAAGCAGGGCAGTGGGCATGACTAGGTAATACAGGAGTGAAATCTCTGCAGAGAACACACATACGTGGCGGGATGAAGGAAGGAAATTACATTACACTCTACACATACAGGGAACAAGCTTGGCTCCGAAATGAAAGAGCAGCATGCTACCCTACTGCCTCCTATTAAATTGATGGACTACACGGCTGTTCCCAGGGCTTCTCAAGATAAAAAATGTTCATTTCCTTAGAGAACAAGGTTTCGACCTTCGTGACCTTACTGGGCCTGGGTGCGTTTACCCATTTTAATTTCAGATTAGCATCTCGCATTTTCAGTACCTAGGGGATTGCTCTTTTCGCCTGTGCAGCAACCGTAGTTCATAAAAGTATCGGTTACCCTCCCCCTTGTTCACAAAATCAAGGCAGATCTGACCAGATGGCACATGCTCCTGCGCTCTGTGTCAGGCTGCATTAATTCAGGGGAAATGAACTCTCCTCCAAAACTATATTTATTTCAGACAGCGCCATGCCCAGTTGCTGGGCTGTCCTCAGAAAAACCTAGAGACAGCTCTTTTCTGTAAGCTTAGCAGGGAAAAAAGGATGGCAAAGGCCTCGATGGAAATCCCAGATGCCAGCAAGGAGGAGTACCCACAGGGTCCCAGGTGGCTGGAAATATTTCAGTGCCCCTTCTCCAGCAGACACTGCTTTCCCTCATGCTCAAAGCATCATGAAGCAGAGAGGTGCTCTCACACCTTGTTGGACCAGCCCAGTAGCCTCTTAAGGCAGTGCTGTTGGAACAGCTCAGCCTTTCTGGGAAGGCTGCAATTACACTGCTTTGCTGGGATCAGGAATGGGATTCTTCCAAGTAACAAAGAAAAGCAAAAGCTGTTATGGTGGAGGGTGTGCAGCTTGAATCACTGTCTAGAGCCAGCTCTTCACCAGGCCCTCTTCTTGAGGGTATAGGCAAGGCATTTCACCTATTTATAGCTCTGGCCATGCTATTCATTGATGACCCATTTCTTTCACCTTCTGCTGGAATAATTCTCCCCATTGCTGGAGACAGTATAGTGCAAGTGCTGGAACAATCCTGATTGGGTAAGAAATGTCCTTTGTTCCTCTCTGTAAAATGTTATTTACCGTTCTATATAGCACATATAAAAACACCTAAGTGTAATACTATAATTAGTAAAATCATGCAGAGAAACTGTTCATGTGGATAATGATACTTTGCGTCCTCCCATGTGGGTAGTTTAAGGTCGAATTAATTCATGTTTGCCCAGCTTTGTGAGATCTATGGGAAGAAATGCTATTATTATGCAAATAATTATTAATAATGACTGCTCCTGTGCTGCTCCCCTTTAAATGTACTCAATTTATAAGTCACAGAGTGTTTTTCTCCTTGCTGCAAGACAAACTGAGTTCCGCAAAAGGAAATGGTGGTGTTGGTGTACCTGGCAAGGGAAAACAGCTCTGAAATGAGAGTAATTGATCTCTGAAATTCTGAGACTGAAGGCTCAGCTTCCGGTTACTCCTTTCTGTGCCACAAGCAATGTATGTGACCCTGGAAGTCACTTGGAAGAGCAGTCACGCTGTCTGCTAAAGGCATCAAACTCAGGCACAGTTATCAACACAAAGCAAGCCCATGCAGGGGGGGAATTCAGACCATGAAATACCATATAATTTGTGCAGAGGTGAATAATTATCTTAATTTCACACACTGAAGCACAAACACTTCTGACAATAAAGCAACACTTCGAGGTATGGCGAGTATAAATACACCACATATATAATGCTCCAATCCTGCACAAAATAAGAAGAGGTGTCTAACAAAGACTATTTTTAAGAACACTAGGGTCTCAAATACAAGCATGAGGGGTTTATTATCCCAAGCACAATCCTTTGGAACAGATGTGCAAAACATCTCTACAGCTGGCTGCTAAGGTCCCTGAGAGGCTTCCTACTGCGGATGAAGGCAGGGCCACACAGAGTAAGTAGATAAGGAATTTCATACTGGGCAAGGCTTCTCCAAGGTTGCAGGGCATATTGTGAGCCACACAGGTCACACCAACACAACACCCACAGCACTGTTGCAGAAGTGAGTGCCACTCAACAAGTTCTCCTCTTTTAAAATTTAGTAAAACTGTGGGCATAAAAAGAGAAATTTGGCTATTACCAAGCCCTGTACAGGAGGAGTCTGGTGACTTATAAAACAAAAGAATTTTGTGCACATGCTGTTCAGAGCTGCAGCTAGAACACATCGGCTCTGCTGCACTATTTCCACACATGAAACCGCCATCAGTGCAGCAGGTCTGACACACTCCAAGCCCTTGTGCACACTTAACTTTGGTGAGGGATATCTCAAACAAAAACACAGATAAGTAAGAATTAAGCTACAGCTTTGTCTCCCAAGGCAGTAGCTTGTGTGCACAGGGCTCCCTGGGCAGGGTAGGCTCTGACAGAGGTTAACAGGTCCCTCCCAAGTAGTCATTGTCCATCACTGACATACATGTTTCCAGGATTCCCACTGCACTGAAGTTCACAGATGCCTTGGGTAAGACACTAGGTAGTAAGGTTTGAGATGGATGTCTTCCTGCATCTTCAGCAGCTGCAGACACTACAGAATCTGCAGTCAGAACTTAGCTCAAGGCAGGTTTGAGGACCACGAGAGACAAAAGTGATGTCTGCTCATCTCCCTGTAGCTCTGCAGATGCAATCCAGCTAAGCATCAAGGAAAATGCATTTGTGCCACATGAATGAGCAAGTATGAGGTGAAGGCACTCCTGAAACTAATGGGGTAGAAAGAAGGTCCTTCTCCATTTTATTTATCTGCTACCCTGCTTTCACAGAAGCTATGATAAATAGATACTAATCATTGCCACAGACAGTCCAGCGTTCAGATATGTGCCCTTCCCCGAGGCCTCTGGAAGAATGCCGACTCTCTGTGCTTCCACAAGAAACATAGCCAGCCCCACTGCCTGCACAGGCCTGCAGATTTACTCATTTAGTCACCAGTCCAAGGCACAAACACTCGCAATCCACCTGCAACAGCCCAAAATCTTCAAGACACAGACCAAGGTGTTGTGGTGTACTGATGCTCAAGCAGCTGCCAGGAAGAGAAGTGCATGCCCTAAGTGCTGCAGAGGAGTGTGCCTAGGGTATGATGTTTAAGGAGTTCCTTAGGGATTTCAGCAAGCTGATAAGAAACACTCTAGAATAAAAGTTTTTTGAGCTGTAGCATAACCTGAGAAAGCTCTTCCTCTCTGTGTTGTTTTCAGCTAAGGGAAAGTCAGATCTTGGCATAAGGTTTCCAGCCACCAGGAGCAATGGCTTCTTATTCTGACACATGTGAATCCTTTCAACATTAATTTTACAAACAGCAGTAAATAGGGTGTGCAGTAAGGACATATATTGACGACATTTTAGATAGGTCTCAGCCGCTCAATCACATAGGGATTTTTATTCCAGCCCAAACAGCTTTTCCTTAGGCTGTTTCCCACAAACAGGTTCGTGTCATTGAGGTCTGTTGGAAGAACTGGCTTTGGCTGGAATAAGACATCTTTGATTACAGAAGACTTCTGTAAATGGAACTTTCAAAAGACTGAATATTCACAGGCAAAAAACCCACAAACTTAATTTTTTGAAATTACTGCAAAGATGCCAAAACTTAGGTGTAATTAGCCTAGAAGTAAAGCTTGAGCTTTTCAGTTTACCATCCCAGGTAAGGATGCTATTAATGATCTTGCATTGTGCTAGTAAATTACAGAAACAGTGCAATCACTAGGATAAACACAACAGCTACTTCCTCAGTACTCTGGTTAAACTTATTCTTTCAAAGAGGAACAAAGTGCTTCTTGAGCAGCAGAATATCTGGAGCCTGATTTCCTACAACTGTTTGGTATGTAGCTTCTCAGGTGTCCAGTAACCCACCTGAGCTCCCACCACAGCTGTTCCACAACATCTTCAATGACCACGCATCTCCTGTCTTTCTTCCGCAAGTTATTCATGAATGACTGATCCTCAGTGACTTTCTGGTTAGTCCTTGCTCTTCCTGTAGAAAGCATCTCTTCTGCAGAGGATGATTTTGCCATTGTCGTGTATTTGCTCCCTGAAGCCTGTGGGTTTCACTGTTAGGGCAGAGGCATAGTAGACATGCAAATTCCATCAGGGCGTAGGCCCAAACAGAAACATTCAAGAAACAGAGCAGCAGGCTCTTTCTCAGATGTGGTTAGCTGTCTGATTGCTTTCTTGTAAGACTGGCCCTGGGGGGATAGTTGTGACATATGACAGAAGTGCAAACATTGCAGGTGTTCCCTAAGCTGGGAGTTACTCAGGATCTAGCACAACTTTCATGTTACAGGTAACATATGATCAGCATCAGGAGAAGAAACACTAATCAGATGACTTATGAGCCCTGAAAAGACCAGGCATGAGGTGAAACAAGACTCCCTTACAGACCTGGAGACTAGTCACTGACCGGTGAACTGACATTGGTCTCAGCAGACGTATCTATTAACTCCACCATCAGCTCTGCATGATGCAGCCTGAGACACACAGTGAACTACATAATGTAAGAGACACCCCCAGCACAGATGAAGGCCAAAAAATTCCCATTCCAGGCCATGAGATATGCCAATGCTTTGTGCTGTAGCAGAGGCTCAGCCAAGAGGAGGAAAAAGGGTTTCTGAATTTTACAGTACAGCAATCCTCTAGACCTGCTGAGGAAGAACGTTCCTACTCTCTCCAAGTTTTGACAGAAAAGGGAAGACCTAAAACGTCCCCTGCTAGTCCATCCACGGAGGACACATTCCACCACAGCCTGCTTACAGTGTACATTAGAAATGCAGAACTTAAAAGTATGGTAAGATGCTTTTCCAAGTGAGGAATGTGCAATTTCATTTATTTACAGCAGTGCTCCATGCTCCTTTCCTACTCTACCAGCAGCTCAAAAGATGCACAGCCAGCACGAGACAGCTGGTTTGGGATCAGCCTTTGCCACAGAAAAGATGCTGTGAATAAATCATAGGCTTGTGAATTACTCTGGCCAAGAGGATACCCCAGATTATATAATTAAAGCCCCATTTTACAGACTGTTAAATTGAGACACAAAGCGTCAGTCTGACCTGCCATGATCCCACAGGCAACAAACAACCAAGGCAGGAGCAGTGGCTCTCCCAAGCCTCCCAAGAAGGCATATGGACGAACAGGAATAAAGGAGGCACATCTGCTTTCTTGCTGCTCTGCATCATCTTTCTGAAATCCCTCCTTTGGTCTGCAGTCTTGTGATGCACTCTTGGCACTCGTGTCAGCCCTCCATATACGCCATTGATCATGGACCAGGCTTCACAGGAAGCTTTCCACTTGTTTGTTTGCTAATGAATATTGTATTTTTAAAAATAAGTAAGAAGTGGGGGGGAGGAAACATGAGGGAGCCCAGAGTGAAGGCTGTTGCTGTGCTTAGTCTCTATGGAAATAATCCACAATGCTAATACATCCTAAAATGGTAATAAAGCCTGTGTTCTCTTATGTAATCCCATAGTAAGAAAGAGCTCTGTCGGCTTGCCCGACAAATGATATCTCTGTAACCTTGGAGGGGATTATTACTAAAAAACACGGGGTAGAAATACAAAGCGACACAGACACACAGAGGCACACGCAAATCCATCGGATGCCGCAAAAGGACAAGCAGCTCCAGCCGGGCTTCTGTGCTTTGGCACTACAATATTATGTCTCTGCCATTGCACGGGAGAAGGAGCTCCTGGCAAAGCAGCAGCCTTGCCCCGACTCCTCCTCTGCTCACAGTACCCCCCCTCCCTCCCCAGACACCTTAGTACCAGAAGAAGGCAGAGGGCAGGTTTTCTCCTTTTCTGTCCTCCCTCCCTCCCTCCCCTAAAATGAACATTCAAAGCCCCGGCAGCTGGCCAAATCCAGTTTGCCTACGTCACTGATGCACGTGGATTCACATCTGTCCTGCCCAGCAGTGATGGAGCCAGGGCTACGTGCGTCCCCGAGGAGGATTCATGCCCCTAAATCCATCAAGTTCTGTTATTGGCAAGGGGGGAATGCACCTTTTTCTGGGCACAGCTGAATAGCACTGTAAGGTGACTCAGTTTGCCTTAGAGGTGTAGGGAGCCAGCAGGTCTGGAGGCAGGGGTACTCTCGTTTTGAAGCTGTCTCTAAGTCTAGCTGGTGAACTATAAACTAAAGCTAGGCAGCTCTTCGCTCTTGTGCCTCAGGCGCAGAACAGAAATAAGGCACCTCTAGATTAAAGTACGTCACAAGGCAAACCACAGTGTACAGGCAGCCCCGTTTCATCACCTTCCTCTACTCCTTTCTCCGCAGATTGTATCTCTCTGCAAACATGGACAGGGATCCACCAGGCCACCCTGGAAACCCATCGGAGACATGAGTCTAATACATTAATTGTTTGAGCAAACAGCCCCATCCTCCTATGGACCGGCCAACCCTGAGCTCCCTCCTCCAGGACATGGCAACCAGACAGTCAGGAGGCTGACCCCATGAGATAACTCACATGCAATATTGTTAACACTGAGCTCTTATCTTGATGCCAGCAAAGGATGGTGACTACTCCACTAACTTTTTCCCAGACATGAAAGCATGGGAAAATTCAGTGGAGTGCCAAAAAACTTTCTTGGGAACACGAGATGACATCGGGCAAGTTTCCATGCCTGATTGACCATTCACCCTTTCATGATGGGTTGTATTTAAGAGACTTTTTTAACATTTTCTCAGACAGCAAGAGATGAATGAATAGAGAGTCTCAACTCCGAGAAGATTCCTGAAGGCAGGAAAAAACCACTTCTGATGAAAAAAAGTCAGTCCTAACACTTAAAAAGACATTAGGACACTTAAAAGACACGTTTAAGGGAGCACAGCCTTAACCAGTCAGCACATGTAGAAAGGTCTAATTTATACTAGATGTTTGCAGTGTGACTGCCTGGAAAATAAAAGGTTACAATCATTATTCACACCAGTCACATTTTTTTAATTAATAACCCTGTAATTGGTATCGACTTAAACCAACCGATGACAGTCTTATGATGAGCCATTTCCAGCCAAGCTTTCTACCCAATTGCCCTCAGGTCAGGAAAACCATGAACTCTATTATTGGGCAGAAGCTTTCTGCCCCACATCAGTCTCCTTCCTGGGCCACAGAGAGGTCACCCCACACACGAGGCGCAGCAGCTACCCACATCCACAGCTTTTCTCCAGCTCTTGCCTACTGCTCAGCCTCTACTGTGCCGCAGCCTGGCTTCCCCAGGTCAGCATTTAAAACACCAGCACTGTCTGGTGTGGCAGTTTCCCTGTGAGGAGCTGTGATTAAAAATGGTGATCCCACGCTCAGGGTCACTACACTTCCCAAAGCCCCTTCCGAACCACACCCTGGTGAAGAATGCAAAGGTTAATCCATCTCGAGGCATTTTTTTCTAGGGAGCAGGACAAGTAAGACTTGCTCCTCTCTTTAGAATCAGGCTCAAGCAACCGAAGGTACCCACCGCCGAGATCTGCAAGATATGGTTATTTTGGACATCTCTGATATAACTGCAATATGCAGCTTGGACGTGCCTCTGACGCACAGGGAAAGGAAAAAGGGCAGCACTGTCAAAGGGCAGCGTTGTCTCCGCAGCAGCTCAAGCCACAGCCTCACCTAAAAAAAAAAAAAAAAAAAAAAAAAAGCCCTGGGACAATATTTTGGTCCCAAAGCTCATTTACAGCCAATTTCGAGAGAGATTTACTTTCAAAAAGGAAAAGCACAAGTCACCTGGCTAAGGCAGGCATCATAGCAGCCCCTCTACAAGGCTCTGGCGAGCTGCAGCACCAAAGGGACGGAGAGGTGAAACCACGGGTCCAGCACCTGGGCTGGGCTCGGGGCGTCCTCCAAAGCAGTGCTCTGCCTCTGCCCTTCCCCCGGCGGGACCGAAAAGAATCCTTTATCTCCCCCAAATCTCGACAGGGAGCCAGGGACTTCCTCCGGAGGGCTTCCCCCCTCCACTACCAGGGAGCAGCATTAGAGGGCAGTGCGCTGCCTTGAAAGCGGGATGCTTGTATGTTCCTCACTACCCCCGGGCCATCGACACCCCCCCTCGGGCAGGGTGTCCCCCCTGTCTGTCCCTCAGCATCGCCGCTGAAGGAAGGGGCCACCACTAACCCCAAGCTGAGGTTCCCCCCTCGCTGCAGCGAGCCCTGCCCGCCGCCTCTCCCCTCAGCCCCCCTCCGCAGACGGCGAGCAGGAAAGTTCTGCAGGGACTACGTTTTAATTAGAAAATGCCGGGTTTTAATTAAATAAATGCGAAGCTGAGGAATGCAATCAGGAGAATTGCCTGCCCTCTTTTCATTCTGCAATTCAATTTGATTTGCGCTGTCCCTTGCACTTTTAGTTTTCATACGCCAAAGACTTTTGCATTGATCACTCGGCGCTGCATTGCAGAATTTGCCAGGGACAAAAAGCTGGAAGCGCTGGCTGTTGAATAAAGGGCAGCTGGAACTTTTCACAGCTGGGGATGCATCAAAGGCAGCCTGCGTCTGCAGCAGCAGAACTGATTTTTCGATATTTTTGTGCACCAAAGTTCCCAAGGACCACAAGCAGAGTTCAACAACGGTCCTGAAAATCAGGTGCCAAAGAAGAGAGCAAGAAAATATGCTGTCCCATCTATAACTAGGGAGAGCAAGCAAGTAAGCGTGCACACACATGTGTATGCAAGCAAACACATAAACCACCCAGGTATTGTCGTCATGCAATCCTGCAAACACTTCATTGATTTCCTGAGCACGCAACTGTTAATTTTAAGGTTCTAGAAACCAAAATTACAAACCAAACTCAAGATTTTTGCTTTCAGAAGCCAGTTCTGGTTGCTAAGTGACTACAATGTTCTCTATCGCATCGTTTGAAAAACCCACGCGCTAAGAGCAGAGGAATTGCTAGGTTAGGACATCAGGAATGTGCTCTAGCACCATGATGAATTTTATGTGTATTTGTACTACAGTAACACTCAGAGTCCCCAGGGAGCTGTTGTTTTTGATAACATTAAGAGTAAAAGACGGTTCTAAGGAGGTCTTAAGCTAAAATGGG